ACACGGTGAAAATGTCAAATATTCACAAGCGTTTGTTCATTTATTTATTATACGTAATAACTATAACTGAGAAATGAAGTTTTTTTTAAATTTCTTATATATGTATGTTTTTTTAATAATTAATACGTTTTAAAAATATATTCTTCTAATATAGAAAACATATAATTATGACATCAGTATTACAAGTTTCAATTTTACAAGCAGAAAAAATAATCTTCATCGCTGTGGCTTTGTATTTAAATTACGGGATTTTATAAGAAAAAGGAAATACATTTTACGATCAATGAATGTTATTAAAATTCCATAGGGAATCATAAAACTATTCTAAGTGTTATTTGAACGTTAAATGTTTTTAAAATGTTTTAAATGTTTTTTCAAAGACAGCTCACGGTAGCTCTTTTTTAACATAATATTTTCCATGCTCAAGTGGTTAAATGTCTAGCATACGTTCCAACTGGTTCTGCAAGAGTAAATATTCCGTAAATCTCAAACACATTGCGATAAAAACGTTGCATAACACAGCAATCGATGCAAAACGTGCGCACGATGTTGAACGCGCGCGAGATAAATAATGTCATTACAACTTCTATCACTGTATTTAATTACGCCGAGTAAATATACGTAGATATATTTATGTCGTGCTCTTATTGCAACGGAAAATTGTTCGCATTGACGAAAACTCGAAATATTCCGCGACGAAGAGACACGCTGTCGTAGGCGGAACGCAAAGCGCGACGGGTATGTCTCATTAGCGGGCATCGTTATTTTCTCAAACGGAGCATCGGCTTATTATGAGCCGTCGTAATTGTGTGTACGTCCCCCCCGCCGTCTCGCCCTCCCCGAGGAGGGGCGCGGGCGCTTTAGGCTTTCTATCAAAGAGCTTGCAGTTTAAGAAGCGGAAGGAAGAGGCGTAGAGCGAGAAGGCTGGAGGTATGGAAGCAGTCGGAGAGTGGCCCTTTCAACGGAGACACTTTGCACCTGTTGAAGGTACAGCCACTCCTCGATCTTGCCGAACCCTCCCGCTCAAAGTGATCTCCAACCTCTGGCAGTTACTAGAAAAACGCCGGCGAATTCCCTCCTATAGCGCCCGATTTCGTTTCGTTGACATCTCGGAAATTGGTTTTCGATATGAGCCGCGACGTAGGTATCCCCATTGTTCCTTGTGCGTGCGACAGCTGCTCGAAAAACGCGCGTCTTGCATCCCTTATTGTTTTTCCCTCTCCTTCTTTTTTTTTTGATACATGTACACCTTTCGCAACAGTACACTTTTACACGAGCGTTTGCCAAAAAGTTTGGCAAAAGAAAGCTAAATTATAATCAAGAATCAAAAAGAAATTCCACGCTCAACTCAAATATATTCGTCATCGGAGAATACTCAGATTCAAAACATTCAGAGAGCAAAACTGCAACGCTGTTGTATATTGAAATAATATTCAATATTTGTGTCAACGTTATTTGCAGTTGTCACAAACATCTGTTGCATTCTTGCAAAGTACGTTTACGAGACTGTTGTATATTGCAACTTGCTATATATATATTCGAATCATACAATATCGCGATGACTGAAATTGGTCACGAAAATAAATGATGTCAATCGATAATTATTGAATTTTTTACACGTAACAATTATTTCTCTCTCAATTCCGATTCCGCGTATATGTATATTCTAGCAGCGCACAGAGTTTCGTGAAATGCAGTATCTCATGGATATCCTATACTCGGTATTTTAACGCGATGCGAGATCATTAGAGGGGAACGCGTTTGGAAAAGCGCGCGCGTTAACTACGGACCGCAACACGCAGCGTCGTTCACGAGCAAAATTTTGAAGAAAATTAACGCGCTTCGCCTCGAAGTTGCGTCGTCTACCGTGTCCAGGTGTACACGGGCCGTTGCGCGGAGCTTGCGAAAGCAGCCGGGGGCTAACTCTTCCGCAAGCTCGCTCGGGTCTACGAGCCGTGTCGGTGCTACCGCTCGGCGCCGCGCCGCGCCGCGCCGTGCCAGGGCGAAGTGCATTCGATGTTCGCAGTTCGCTGCCATGGCAACAATCCCCTACAAACAAAATGCATCGTGTGCACACGACATGCCACGGGTTCTCCTTGTCGCGCCGGGGCCGGGTGCCCACCCGCCGCGCATTTAGTCGCCACGGAAGGAACCGTTGCCGGGGTGAAGAAATGCCACCGGACAGGACGAGACACGACTGTAAATTCCGAGCGTGGCGAGTGTCGGAGGGGACGGCGCGGCGCGGCGGCCGCCCCGTGTGCTTTGCGAGATAAATCGTCCGGCTAGCTCGTGCACTCGCACGGCTGCCGGGAGTGTCGAAAGGGGACACCGGTGAGCACGCGATCGGCGCCGATGATTAACGGTCGATTAAAGATAAGCGCCGACTGTTCGTTTTGCTACGTCGACATGCCGGCGAGATGTTGTTACGTGGTTAACGCTTTCGCGATCGATACGGTCGATGCGTATGCAGTACATTGTTGCGCGAGCTCTATCAATGAATTCGGAACATCGAGTTTCTGTTTAAACATCACAACGCTATAATAATAATTACTGACTAATATTATTATACGAACTAATAATTATCAGCTTCATGAAGACCCCGTATATAATCCTGTAATTGTATTTTGGTCAAAACTTGCATAATTATAGAGTTTAAGTGAAGATTAAAGTATCATTTATTCATGTTTTTAGCAGAGTTTGGATCATATTTGTCGGATTTTAAACGAAGGAAACAGGATATCGGTTTTTACTTTTGTAATAAACACGCGATATCGCGTTCAATGCCTGCCAACACTCTCGGACACAACAAACGAGAAATGAAGCAAAATAGCGTCTCGTAATCATGGACATTTGTCGCGTTGGTCCAAAAGCGACTGTGGCAAGCGACCGATAAAGAAACGACCTTTCTATCCTCTTAAACGTCACGGCGACGTTTTCGAATCCATACGGATTAGAAAATCCAATATAGAAAGGAGGAGCGCCACGAGGGCGTAGCGGAACCGCACGAGCGGGAGGGTGACCGAGGTCGCGCCGAAGGGAAATGGGTAGGAAGAGAAGAGGAAAGGTCGGTGGAGGAAGAGACGGGGGAGGGAGGGTAGTGAAGAGTGAGGAGGAGAAGGGAAGAGGAGAGAGCGTGAGAAGGGGGGAGGCGGGAGGGAGGGTGAAGAGGGCATAACACAATTACATGTGGGGTTGATGCCGGGCTCGCTCTCCGTACGGTATAGCGGCGAGATGAGGGTCGGGGACCGCGCGGAGGGTGCCCTAACGGTGGGTGGCAAGATTGAATATGAAAGTTTAATGCGAGCAATATCAGCGCCACTGCCCCGGCCCTCGGCTACTCACTCTCAGACGTCTCGACTATCAGGGTGCCCATCTTGGCTGTATCTCTCTTTATATCGCGAGTGCGCGCTCACACCGGCGCGCGGCGGCATAGTGCGGGGAAAGAGGCGGAGAGACGGCGGAGAGAGCACTTCGAATCTTTGATGTCCCGAGGTAACCCACAGCTTCGCCTCGAGCTTGTTCCACGCTCGCGCGTAAATTTCCGACCGATTTGAAAAACTGATTTGTCAATCCGCAGCCGTGCGCGCGCCGCTTTCGACAAGCGCGTCCATTTCGATGCAAACAACGTTTAGAACGCAGCGCGCAGCGCGAGAATGTAATTAGCACCTCGTTGGCTCTCCTCTAGACCCGAATATCGGTTATTTTCAGCGCGCGAGAAATGATAGAACAAAGGGAAGCCTACGATATTGTCAATGACATATTCGATTTCCTTTGCGCACAATCTAATATAAATCGCTGAATGTCACGATAGCTATATCTGTGACACAACCTGAATTATCTTTACGTTACATCAATTGACAAACTGTCACACATTACTTCATTATTAATCAATGTCGCACGCAATTTTGTAATCTTCTATATCTTTTATTGTATATCTTCAATCACAAAAATATCTGTGGATTTTATCCATTCTAACGAAAGAAGCGGTATAAATGTATAAAACAGCAGTCTAGTCTTCCGACTCCGCATAAAAAAAAAGGATAATTATCAATTAAAAACTTACTTTTGTGTAAAGATACCCTGCTTGTGGATGGGATTCACGAGCTTGCTAAGGCGTTTAGTGACTATGCCTTCGGCTATTTGTAAAACTTTCCTCATTAATTACCGACAAGATTCGATTTCGTCCCCTCCCTTCCCTTCCATACCAATCTCCCATCCCGACCTTTTCTCACTATGGTTTTGCCCCTTTGTCCGCCACAGCGCGAAACGAACTTTAATAGTGAATTAGAACGTGCGTTGCTGCAACCGCCAATTATCTGCCAATTAATAAACCGAGCGCTGATATCGCCGAGTCATTTTTAATAATAAAAAAACCCTGCACGTATATATAAGGGATTTTATGTTACAATAAGAAAAAAAAACATTGCGGAGATAGTTTCTATAATCGAATTGAAAATAATTCTGTAATAACGTTTTGTCATTGACGTGGTTGACTAAAAGCACGCATGGGAATACCGCAGAAAAATTCCTTCCTCAGCTAACTACGTCGCCCCATTCTATCCTTTCAGCGTCACCTCGGCACATCTGCGAGTATATCTCTTCGTCAAAGAAATAACTCCCGGTACACCTTGTACGTGTCAACGTGGTTAAAAATACAGCCGTACCTATACGCACGCGGTCGTATATCGCGCGAAGGAAGGCGCACACCGACGACGCACCCCGGCATTTCTTACGGCAGAAAGTCCCCCTCTATACCTCCGTGCTTCTTATGTTCCGCTATCGCGCGCCGAATAATGCAAGCCTCCCTCGGAACGGCACTGCTTTAGTGACAAGCGCCTTTAAGAGTTTAGACATGCGTCAACTTAAGCAAATGCAGATCAGAGCAACGACGCGCGACGAAGTGCTCGGATCTGACAGAGAGCTGGCGGAAATGTCGACTGGCGATAGAGGCGAAGCGAGATATAGTTGGTAACATCACGGCGGGAGACCTCTAAAGCGAAATGATGGTTACGTCATGGAAGGCCCCGCTGCTCCCAAGTCAGGCGAAGACGCGATACGCGCGTTTACATGTGGGTTTCATGTGTGCTGCGGTGCGTCTGCGGTTGTCCGCAAGCGGTAAGATCGCAGATATAATACAGTTTTACATGCCTATGAACAAAGAACTTGTAAAGCGATAAAACTCGTCGTGAATTCGCTAACGATAAGTTTCGCAGGGTTAAGCGAATAGTCTCTCTCTTTCTCTCTCTCTCACTCTGCTCATCTATTTTTGTTTTTTAATTAATTTAAGAGAACAACATACATGTGTGTCTTGTTGACAGATAGGAGATGCCTAGCTGATAAAAGTGAATGTCATTAACGTGATGATTAATTTGTGCAGATGCGGGAGACAGATCGTACCGCACGGGATCCGACACGGAAGGCGCAGCAACTACGGACAACCCTACAACGCCATTTCCTACGCCGCCCCCAACCTTGACACCGAATCATCGGCAAGCTTCTCCGTTTCCCCTCGAAAGCACAAACTCTCGCCGGCATCATTATAACGGCAGCATATCTTCCGAGAGATCTCGCAACGGCAATGGTAGGGAGTTAATTAGAACCGCAAACGGGTTGGTTTGCACGCAAGATGATACTTACGGCTTCGCCGCAAGATGAATCTCATCAAATGCAATTTTATACTATGCGTTGTACAAGCACGATGCGTGCAAGATGAGCTTCATTCCGGTAGATGGACGCAAGATGAGAAATCCCAGTAGATCGGCAATTTAAAATGATAAGCAATGTGACATTATTGCAATGCAGCTAAAACCTCAGTTTCAACCCGTTCTAAATATGACACCTTACACTTCAATCCATCTAGATTCTCTACACCTCTCCAGTTATTAAACGTTGCTACATGTATATATTTTTCTATGTCAAATAATCGTACCATCATTGAAATTAAAATAATTCCGGAGGGCGCCATATAAAGATTATTTAATAACAGTTAAAAGTTAGCCTGTGCGAAAAATTTTATCTTAATAATTTCGCTTCTTTAAATGTTAATTTTAAAAGGATTAAATAAGAGAGTATTTTTCTTTGTCCAACGTTATACTAATGGAAAATTGAATTAAGCGGTATGGATTCTCGTTCGTTAGGAAAACCGGCGCTTTCCAAAGGAAAGAACTTCTTAGCAGAAGCTGTTAAAAAATATTCGTATCTTCTTCATTGCAGGTGAGACCATTTACGCGGCGTCCACAAAAAAGACGACTTCCGGCGGCGGTACCTTAGGTCGAAGAACACGCCGAGGTCACGCAAGCGCCTTGAGCAGTAGCTCCACCGCGAGCGATCGTTCCGAAACCGTCTTCCCCGATGAACACACACGCATGCATCTCACCAATGGTAAGGAAAAATATATCTGCAGATTCCTCTTCACGCATATTATCATCGCGTGATTTATTATTTCGCATGATCAACCGCATCACATCGCATGTCGTCGCATATACCATCGCTTAAGACAATTACTGTAATTATCGAAACGTAACGAGTGTACGAGGAATAAAATTTCTTACCGTTTATAGAGACTTGAACAAAGAAACTCATTCAACTCGACGGATCGGGATAAATCCTCGTCGATCGCCCTGAGCGGATCGGCCCTTTAAATCACGACGTAAAATTTGCCGCGGTGCGATAAGTTAACGATCCATGCCTCAAATGCGATTACTGGACTAACCGAGTTACCGGCTGGTATCGAGCCCCTGGCCGGAGTTAAATCGGGTTTCGCGTAAACGTGTTCCTCGTTAAAAGCTTAATATTAATAGTCACCTAGAAACGCGAAAAAGGGAATCGCATATGGAACTCGGCATCTATAGATCCTACAAATACATTCTTGTATTTTCTAAGAAGTCTTTCATATTTTGTGTGTGTGTGTGTGTATGTGTAAACGTATGCGATATCAATTATTTGAACTTATTGATTGAGAAAAAAGAAAGAGTTAGAGCAGAATACTTTCAGCTTCGATTTCTCATAAACTTTGCATAAGACGTTAGTTCTCATTAAGAATTACTTCGGTAACTTCGAAACAGGTTAAGAAAACACATTATTTCTCTTGTTAATTTCGTCCTAAAGCACCGTACATAATTTTCAACTGTACAAATGTCCTCATTACGTGCATCCCTCGTTTCGCGCGTTTTCCATCGATGCACGGCGAAACTTCGCAAAACGGCCAAAGGCGAAAGATCTTGGCAAAGGCAAACGTTTCCGGGCCACGCGTTATCGTCTAGCGAACAATGTCTTAATCGACAAACTACATTATACGTCGGCTCATTAAATAACCAAGAGACCTTCTATTTTGGCAGTTAGCTTCATTGTTGTCTGATGCAGTAATGTACCAGCGGCAACACCAACAGTGTCGGTAGCTGCAATGGCAGCGGCAATAGCGCACGGTGCGCAAGTGCGAGAGAGAGAGAGAGAGAGAGAGAGAGAGAGAGAGAGAGAGAGAAGGAGAAAGACTCCCGGAGCCCCGAGCTAACGGAGTTAGCAGTTGGCGCCTGGGCTCGGCTAGTTAGAGCATAGACCACCGTCAAAGTTAGCGTGACCCCGCTGACTATATTGTTTCAAAACGTCAACAGTATTTAGATCTCCTGTCGTTGCTGGACCGCGCGCGCGCTATCTTGGCACACGCACTATCTCACCGTGTAACGCAGCTTTCGAGCGGCAACCACCGGGAGATAAGAGAAAGTAGCTTTGCGGCTTTGAACCGGCGGCCGCGCGGTCGGCGAGCGGCTTACGCTCGTCGGCTAAGTTTTAAACGAAATTTCGTCGGATCTCATTTCGCGTCGACGCGACGTCGATGCGGCGGCGGTCACGTCGGGTTCGGCGAGGGAAGCCCGGCTGCCAATTAGTCTACCGATATCGCGAGACAGCGTGAGCGTGGATGAAAGGGGCGAAGGATAGCCGGGTGAAAAGCTGCCGGGCGAGCGCCCGTGCGGTAAGGAGCAAGAGCTCCACCGCATCTTCGTGGACGGTTACCTCCGGAATTTCGAAGGCCGCATTGCTCCTGCTCGCTCGAGTGCGATCGCATTACGCGTAGGTTTCGTGAAAATTACCGACGCGAATTAAGCTCGTGACGCTCGTTTATTTACAACGTGTATGAACATGCATTCTAGATACATCCTATAAGCGCGAGAGTATACTACATCGTATATAAAGATAAAGTAACTCTAAGACAATATGAAATTTTCTCTTTTCTCGTATTTTCTGATTTTAAGGACTTTGTGTGTCACGAATCAGCATTTCATGCGTCACAGAAAATCTGTTTTAATAAATCATTAATTATCGATAAATTTCCTGAGCAGTAATTTTTTGACGCACGATTTTGTCGAGAGTGCTGGATGGTGACGATGAGCATTATATAAGATGCTGCAAGATACCGCGTATAATTACCAGGATCTCGTAAGCAGTAATTTGAGTCTGAATCTGCGATGGGATATTGCTTGCCAGAATGTCCCTGCGGTCTAATGGAGGCATGTCGCGGCATCTATTAGCAAATGGCTCCCAACGGTCAGGGCTTACCCGCGTTAACCCCGTGTGCGCCGCATCGCCAGAAAGACGATTGATATTACATTAGACCGCCGTAGTCTAATGTGGCCCAGTCGAGGAGCACGTTATTGAATTGGCGAACGCGCGAAACCCGATAACGTTACGGTAATTTGCTACCACAAAGCTATGAAATGCACACGCCTAAATGAACGTATTCGTCATCGTAAAATGAAGAATTAGCATGTGATACATTTGACCGCGCTGTAAGCATTATAATTCTGTAACAAAATTACGAAATAAATATCGAAAACAAAATAATAAATTCCATCGATACTTATAGTAAATTCTCCTTGCAATTTAATGCGCTATAAACTTCTGTTAATCCGTAGGATTTTCGAACAACCGTTAAATTCGTGAAATGTATAGTATATGCATTTACACATATACTTATACAAATACATCAATTAGGAGAAACGCACAAATATTTTTGTGAAAATTAATAATTGTGCACAATGTAAATGCGCAGAAGCAAATCATCCCCGTCGGTGGAAAATAAATTTTCCGCGGGTTCTCGCAATCGTTCAACGATGGTCGGTAATTTTTGACGGGCTCTGATGCGGGTTGTTGCATTTAATGCCGTGGAACGAATCATGCGCACCAGCAAACTTGATGCTATCAATTCGTTCGATTGATGTAGGTTTCGCGGTATATCGTTGCATATACGCGAACGAAATAAATGCACGAGGAAATGAATTGACTTATGTATACAGTCAAGTAAAAACTTTAAAAATAGCCGTGCGCTACATACATATATATATATATATATATATATATATGTGTGTATGTATGTACATATATGTGTATATATCGCAGCACAGTGCACGCCGGTATTTTTAATAAACGATAATACGGTAGAGTAAGCTCTGTCGGATAAATAACTCGCGTAAATTTTCGCTTTTTCATCGTAGCGTTTAATAAAGAACACTTGATTCGTCACTTCTAACTACAATCGAATACTTTTTGCGATGATGACCATTCGGGGAAGCTATATACGAATGTATGTCCGCTTGGGCAAGTGCCAAGTTAACGAACGACGAATAGGAATAATTTCAAGCGCCACTTTTGCGAACTATGCCAATAGCCCGTGTACGCCCATTATCATTACCGTTCTATTCCTTTTAGTCTATCTTTTTCCGGACTGGTTATCTATAGCAATATTAGCAATGCAAATTATCATTTATTACATTTAACTGTTTGCAATTTTTTTATCGTTTGCGGAAGTGAAGGTCAATTTTTATGTTGTAAAAGAAAGCAGATACTCTCGGCAGTCTCGGCGACGGGAGAAAGAACGCGCGGGAATTAAAATCATGGGACATTAGGTTTATGAATGACGTTATAACGGTCCTGTCTCACCACTTTACTACCATTACGCTTAGGTAAATAACTCAAACAGAATGTAATCAATGCGCAAGCTTAATTGTCGTAAATTATCGTATAATGCTCAGGTTACGAGCAACGTGATATTTATGAACTTTCTCCTCCGTGAAAATTCATCGTAGCAAGACTGTTTTATGGAGAACCTCACCCTATCCCAAATATATATTTCTCCCCTTACATATTCCCTTAATATAATTTTTGCCTTGCCGTAAAAGAAATTTGAAGACAATTTTAATCATCAAATGTAAGTGAATATGTTCGGCTCTATTAATTAAATTGTAGTATGCCTTGAAAAAGTCCAAAAATACAGTAAAAGCTGTCAAAATAATTTTATATCTCCAAATCTACCAATTTATCAATGGTAAATGGATCCAGGCGAGGCACGGATGAAATTTTGTGTGTCCAGCGCGAACGAAGGCGGAAGCGGCGCATAGAAATTGTACGAGACAGTTCGGACGAAGCATTCACGAATGCTAACTCGGTTTATTAGACTGTTTGGTCCGGAAGGAGTCAAGCCGGAACGATTCGTTGAGCTGGTTATCGGACAGTAGGTACAGTACCCACCACCGCGGCAATACCGCGCCGGTATAGCGCGCTGGCAAATAATTCGTATTTACATGAACGTGTACTCCCCGACGCGGCGGAGGCGTTAGACCGACAAATCGAATTACAGACGCGAATCGCTAACCGCATCAAGTCACTGTCGGCTACCTTGCATCCCCTTGCACTGTCTGACTAACCCTTCTCGCCCGCCCGCGGATGAGGGATAACTCGGTTGAACTCGGTATCGGTGATGCGCCGGCATACTACATAATTGGCTCGCAACGATTGGCCAAGACATACCATCGGCGACGTTATATTGCTCAATAATGTGTCCAATTAGATGTCGCACTAACGGCAAATAGGCGTATGTACGCTTGTCACGTTTGTAATAACAGCCGAAAGCAACATCCAATAAATTCTGCTAAACACTGTGTCAAGAAAATTGAGCGACTCGATCGAAATATTTTATCGATTATATTTAAAACAACTTCGTTATTCTAATAATATGATTCAAGTTTTGTAAAGATTTCGTACAAATTTAGAAATATAAATTCAATTGCAATTTTCGTAGAACGTTTAAATTTTACGAATATAGAACAAAATGAGCAAATTAATCTTCTTGGTTCTTAAAAAAAAAAATCATTTTGTTTTATATATTCATAAAAAAGAGATTGAACTAATTTTAATTTGAATGTAATATATTATTCTGCCGTGGCGGAATAAGCCCCATTATGTAAATAGTGAAGTCTATATTACCGTGTTATATCATACTCATCATTTTGCAGAATTAGATTGCACTGCACCTATTGCCATCAGAAACTGCATGATTTATTTTGCGCGTTCTGTAAACGCTATCCTATGCTTTATGAGAGACAGTAACGCGGTTTGACCACTGGTCAATGATGTACCAGCATTAGCTATAATTGGCTGGAACCGTATTGATCTAACCTTCATGTAGGCAGCGTTATCTCCTATCCTTGCTGCGTATAATTAGTTATGCTGGCGAATTTGCATATACAGTGCAATAAGTCGTTTAGTAGAATTCGGTAGAATTTGCGCGGAGGTTAGCAAATTTGGCAATCATCACATTACATGTTACGTTACGCGAGTAAATTGACTTACGTTTGTGTGTGTGTGTGTGTGTAACGTGAAACGTATAAAAAAAATAGATGATGTCGAATATATCCATCAAATAGATAATAAAATTGTTTGTTGCCAATCGTCGATATAATTGATCTACTGGAGATTCATCAAATTCCGCTGCGCTCGCTGCGAGATATTTTTGCTTTTGGCAATTTAACCGTCGGATTAAATTTAACCGGTTTTAACTCTTTCACTCCCTCCCCCCGTATACTAGCAATTTAACGTTGACTATAGCATATTTCGCAATTTCAGAAGAACCTTCTCCAAATATGTACTTTTCCCGGGCTTTAATTTGCCGCTGCATCGTGCCGCCGCGCACGCACGTAAAGCGAGACGTAACCACCACGAAGACGGAATGTATCCCGCGTAGTGCAATGTTGTAAGCGTATAAGTCATGCAAAGTAACACATTGCAGATTCAAAGGGAGCCGGTTCTCTCTTTAGCGGGTCGGTACGAGAGATTCCGAGATTTTTCCTACTCCCTCTCCCCCCCCAGATCGGACGAGCACACGTCCG